ATGATGCTGTTCACGTGGGAACTGTTTTATGAAACCCAGGGAGTGAGCAGGTAAGCAGGTAAAGCTCTCGCTCATCACCTCCCGCTCTTGCATAAAATAAGGTCCGTCAAGTACTGCGGTGGCCATTCAGGTTCAGTATGCGCGCATATGCATGCTAAAGTAGGCATCCGGCCATCCCGCGCACCTTATTCGTGGTCCCCCCTCCGGGCACACTACCATTCCCAGCTGCGCTGACGGGTGGCTGCTGCGCCCATTCCACAAGCGCCGTCACCACGCTGGGGCTCGCTGCAATGGCCTCACCGATGACGCGCCGCACCGCGAACGGCAGTGCGCCGTCCGTATCCATGCACCTGTGCGTCGTGGCGGCAGCGGCAGTGAGTGTGGAGGCGTAAGTCACCCCAGTTTAATGCACACGTGCTGAGAACTGATGAGCGAACATAGATTTTGCGAGTAAAGTGAGCCCGGTAACGTGTTTTCTAAACTCAAGTTTGAATCGGTGAGCCTACGTTTTTGATGAAAAAATTGCCTCGATCCTGCCGCATGCTGGCGAATCATTCCGCTTTTTAGGCAATTTCATTTATGGTTTTTAATCAGTACCAGGGTGACTCGCTCAGGAGGCTCTTACTTAGTGCCGAAATCCGTATGTCGTGCTGCACATCTAATTACACCAAGAATGTCATTTAATCCTAGCCCGTACTCGCCTCCCCGCACATATTGAATAAGCGTCCCTCTCACAGCGGCTCAATAAGTTGAGCTCGGGATTGCCACCCAGAATCGCCCATTAGGCTCGCCATAACCGCTGAGCCAGTTCGAACCTACGCTTCAAACAATTAAATCTCCCAACACATTTCAAGAAGTCCTCTGCTGCCTTTGATGCGTTTTCCCGCAAGCGCCATCCCCCCGACGCACCCCCCAACCTCCCAAACCAGCGAAGCAACATGCCAGTCTTATCCACCAAAGATCCCGCACCCCCTCCCTCTCGACGCTATTACGCACCTGTCCGAGCCACCGCCAACACCGACACCGCTAACCATGCGGTTTGCCGCCGCGAGAGCCGCCGCCAGCGGAAAGTGAGTGCCGACAGCCGAGGCCGTCGCGGGAGTAGAGGGACAGTAGACGCAGGCCGCCAGGGCACGCAGGGTCGCCTGTAATGGTCGCGGCACGCCGCGCAACGGGGGATGACTGCTTGAGTACCAAGGAATGATTACCAAGGAATAACGGGCTTAATCTTAACCTTAGCACAGCATGTTGTAGCAACCATCAATTGGGTAGCGAAGCTAGGTGAAGGTGCGATTCTTGGCTAAAACGCGACCAGGTAGGCAATCCCATCCTCAACCCCTCGCCTTGCATATTTAAAGTTAAGAATGAGCAACTGCAAACCTCCAGCTCACCTGTGCCGCTGCCTCCGCGCCTTGTCCCCTGCCATCCGCGCGCGCGTCCTCCAGGCAGCTGCATAGCTGGGTGGCCAAGGACGTTTCGGTAACGCCCTTCAGCAGGTCCTCCGCCTGTCGGAGTGCCGGGCCACGCAGGTTGGCAGAGATGGCCTGGGGGGGTGACGGAGTTGGGGGGAGGCAGGTCGCATGTGAGAACTTGTGAAAATGGTTGCAAGTCAGACTTCACTGACACCTCTCCCCTTTCGCACGCAGTTCTCGTTTCTGTCCGGGATAGCGCAGGGCTCTTACGACGCACGCCAGCCCTAGCGATGTCCGTCCCCAGTGGCATCCCCACTCGCTCTCGCACCTGCAAGCCCCGATTAAGGGTATCTGCCAACGCGTGACACGCTGCAGCCACCGCCGGCCAGTTGCCCTCGCGCCGTGTTGCGCCGGCCCCGGAACCAGCGTTCGCGGATGCGGCCCGGCCAACGGGGCCACCCCTAGCAGATGCACCCTGCAGGGTCATCCGAGACGGTGCCAGGGAACAGTAAACTTCAGCCAACTGAAGCCAGTTAAGCTGGAACACGGGATAAAATCATCACGCATGGCGAGGTATAGAGGTCGGAAAGAACGATAGTTTCATGGATACTCCTATATTGGCAGAGGCCCAGGAGCAAGCAATCAAGGCATCAGCTTGGTGGTCTTAGAATGTATCCACGTAGGCCGACTTTGGGGAGACCAATGGCAAGGGTGTTCTGAAATAGTCTCTCAGCTTAGGGAATGCACCGGCACCTCTTAGATATCGCAAATAAGCTATGCATCTTGCAAGTAAAAGCCCATTGCACCAATAAACGCGTTCGCACCTGCACCACCTCGCAGTACAGGCGCCAGCTCTCGTCCAGGCAGATGGCTGTGTAGCCGCTGCTGGCCTTGTCGGCCGCCATGGCCGCCTCCGCCAACCGGAAGCACTCCACCGCCGCTAGCACGATGCCGACGTGCGAGGAGCCCGCCGAGGCGGCTGCCTGTGAGCATGGCCATCCAGGACACACGTGGAAATGAAATGAACATATGCTAAGCGACCTAACGCTAGAGCAAGAGGGCAAATACGCCGATCGGACCATTGTGGTGTCTGCAGAATCGTAAGCACTGCGCAACACTTGGAGCATTTGCACCCTGTCATGAGACTCGCACGTGTATGCAAGGTGCGGAGCGCGTCGTACCTAATGCAGTCATGCGCAGCAAGGCATGACGCGCTCACCAGACGGAGGGGAGAATTACGAAACGCCAATCGCACCCTTAGGACAAGCCCCTTGCAAAGGAGGCCCACCCTGGCCCAAGCTCACCGAGGCCAGTTCGACCACTGCACGCTGCAGCGGCTGCGCCTGCGGGCGCCCCTCTCCAAACTGCAGGAGCTGCGAGGCAAGACGCAAAGCGCGTTGGACTGCTGGAAGCGGAGGCGGAGATGCGGCGGGCGCCGCTGCGCAGGTTGTGGCGGCGTCGCGCAGGGCGGCCAACAGAGAGGGCAGTGTAGAGGGGTCGGACCAGAGCCCTGCACAAGGGGGTGTAGGTTGGCGCATTGGTTGGTTGCAATATGGTGAAGTAGTTCTTGCCAACATCGTGTCACCCTGGGCACAAGCTTTACGCACCAACGTTCAAGGGCGTTCCCCGACCTGGACCTGGTGTTGGCTTCAACCCTGGCGACCGTGACCAAGACCCATACCCCCCTACCAAAACCAATACCCCTCCATCCTGTGATGAAACCCTGTTTCTCAACGTTCCGCGTCCTACTGTTGTTAATATGAGACCGAACTATCCTGAGAAGACAGCTCACTGCAACGCAGCACTGGATCTCAGAGCCACGGAGGAAGGCGGCCCGTACCTGCTGCCGCCTCGGCTGTGAGCCGAGCCGCGTCCACCGCCAGAGAAAGACGCTCCAGAGAGGAGGCTAGTTGATCAGCCTGCAGAGGAAAGGAAGGAGACCATTAACCGACACTTTTAATTTGCACCCTACGCAAGTCTATAACGAAAGATTGCACAACATTCCCTGCGCTCCAAACCCCATATAAGGCCCCGGAACCCCAAGCTGCAGGTGTCATGAAATGCCCCCCCCAACGTACATGTTGTGGCGGCGCCTGCGTGCTTGGAGCTGGAGACGGGGGCGCGACGGACCCCGTAGCCGCCATCACTGGCTGCTGCTGGCCCTGCTGCTGGGAAAGCGGCGTCCGTGCGATGCCCGAGGAGGGCCGCTGTGCGGCACTCACCGGGGTGACCGATCCGCGGGACGCGGACGGGTTGGCGGCAACACCCGCCCTGCTGGTAGTGACCGGCGGCGGAGTGGCGGGGCTGTTGGAGGCGCTCCGCTGCAAACCGGCCTGAGTGCTTGTGCCTGGCGAAGGACACAGCGTAGGAGCGACAGTACTGACGAGCCGATGTTCATGAAGAGGGCTTGGGGTTTTAATCTGTTATCAATATAGAAATACATTACCTGATGCCAACAGTGAAGCCAGAGATGAAGGCGTAGGCGGCGCTGAACATGTTAAGCATCAGGACACGAGCCCGTCCCTAGCATAAGTGGTAGCAGCGCACGTCTCGTTGCCATTAATAAATTGACTGATGCAGTTGTAGTGATAGGGGTGCTGTTGGTCATAGAACACGCCCTTCGTAGACAAACGATGCTATACAAGGATGTTATATCTATACTGCGATACTGCTATCGCTTCCAGGTCGGGCAGGTCGGGGCCAGCTCCCACAGGCAGCGGCAGGTAACGCTGCACACTGAACGTGCGACTCTTCCCTCGATGTTTTGATGTTTTTCGGGCTTGTACGCTGTATTCTATTACGACCGTTAACAGTCTCAGCATATCTATCTGACATCACCAAAATCCTGGCGGACTTTGCAAACAAGCTATGGACGTCTACACACTGGTCATCATTCAATTGGCTGCAAGTCCGCTGGTTCGCCTTCGCCAGTCGTCATCCTATCTTCTCGTCGCTCGGTTTTGTGTCACACATCACCGCGCCACGCAACTCTTCCGGCACACCACCATACCTGCGCCCTGAGAGGGCAGAGCCGGCAGCCTCCGGTTGCTTGCCAAAGGGTCGCGGCCACGGCTGGGCTGCGGCGTCTCTGTTTGACGCGCTGGAGGGGTGACCGGTGCTGCGGCACTGCCTTCTCGACTGCCCACGCCACCGGTAGCTAGCGCGAGAACTGCACCGGCTACAGCACCGCCCTCGCCCTGGCAGCAAAGACGTGTGTGTGGGGGGGAGGGGACAAGTCAGAATGATAGCCGAACTGAAAAGAAAACCGATGCGCGACGACGGTGTGAGATTACATGGGCATTACCAAGCTGGCGCCGCAACGAAACGCTCGTCCCTGATGTAACGAGGATGAATTGGACAGTACGGAGTTTGCCCCTAGACCGAGAGCAACCCCAGCAGCGAGCGATTAATCGAACGGCGGCCAGGTGCACCACGTTTGAGTATCCCTTGCTCATTCACACCCCGGTGGGAAACGCGGCGCGAGCTGTCATGTTGCACACATAAATGTGCCCATGGCGCCACGCCTCACCGGAAAAGAATGCGATGCGGGGATAGAGGACACCGCCCGGCTGCCCAGCACTGCCTAACTTACTCCGTCCACCTCACCTTCCATGCACGACTTCCCTCAGCCACCTCCATCGCATCCGCCAACATTTTCTCCCGCACCAGCCTCTCAGTGTCCGTCTCCCGTACAAAGGGATGCTCTAGCAGCTGCGGCCAGCCCAGCCGGTCCTGCGGCTTCTTGTTCAGCAGCCCCTGCGGTGGGCAAGTGGCTGATTAAAGCAGTGCTGCTATGAAGGCTTAAGAAAATCTGAAAAGAAAGCGCGACAGACGCACGTGTACGCAAGCTAAACCAAGCAAACCAGGACGATAACAACGTCAGCGCGGGGTTTAACCTTAAACAGGGATGCATGATGGAGGAACAAGCGACCAACCATACCCTTACCAAACGTAGCTACGAATTATACTCGTCCCCGTACCTAAGAATTTACTCATAGTCTTTACTCTAGTCAACCGCGCGTTCCCTCCCCCACTTCTAATGTACAATGCAGAACCAGGCACGCCCCGCGCCTTCTTGCTATCCCAGACACAAGTCCCCCCAGTTTCTTCCTGTGCACACTCTAGGGCACCTAGCCCAAGGTCCCGGCCTATATACCGTAATCCGCAGGTCGGTGACCGCGCCACAGTAGGGTCACCTACCTTGAGGAACGACTTAAACTCGGGCGTAATATTGGTTGGGAACCTGACCGGGTCCTTGACGATGTGGTGGATGAGGCTGCGAGCGGGGCCACGAAATGCCGGATATCAAGATGTTTTCTGCTGTACTCGAACATTACACGAACATCACGAACATCGAAGTGATGACGAAAAAGGAACTAGTGGCTATGCTAACAGGGATGGGTATCCAGTCAGAAGGACAACGTGCAAAAAGTGGGCGGACGCTCTGGAGATCATCCATGCAGGTGCACAGCAGTGCAGCCTTGCCGACGTTCGAAAGTCAGAATAGGTAAAAGCGTGCTTCATTAATAGCCATCAGCTGCACTCCACGTGCTTCCTGCTCCAGATAATGGATGGTTGGCATGGTAGATGGCCAGGAGGCCACTTTTGCTGCCGCTATGCAGGACTGCCCCGGGAGGCAGGCATCGGTTAGCCGGAAGGACCCCGCACTGCCCACCTATAGATGGAGTTGGTGTAGAATGGCGGCTGTCCCACATGCAGCTCAAACAGGATGACGCCAAGAGACCAGAGGTCCACCTGTGGTAATCATGTGCATTATGGAAGCGAAACTTTAGGGAAGTCAGAGAGGGAAAACAGAACGGTGTTGCACGAGCGCCTGCTGCATGCCATGGCTCTTTGAGTAATGATGTTTTCCACGATGCCTATAGTGCGCAAAAGGTGGGGTTAAGGTTATGGTGTCAGGAGGCTACACCACCAAACGTAGGGCCTACGAAATAGCCCATGCCATGCCCTCACTTCCGCCTGGGTCACACAGTAGCCCTGTCCCTGCCATTCCAAAGTCAACCCCGTGTAGGAGAGCAGCAGTGGAAGCCCCAGTATGTCGCTGTTGCAATTGCAAACCTTGCGCCCGATACTCAACCATCCCACTTCGCTAAGCAGGCTCCCACTCCTCGCCAACGTAACCCATAGTACCGTGTGGTTGTACGGCTGCTCTTGAACTAGCTCCGGCGCCATGTACAGCGGGGTTCCCTTGATAGACGTAAGGACCATAGTATTGCAGCTCATCGCCCGCGCGAAACCGAAATCACACAGCTGCACAAGTGCGGGCGGGGGGACGAGGTCCCAGGGGCGCAAAATGAGGTCGATCCGGCCCGAATTCCCCCATGGGAAGACACATAAGACACCCAGGAGTGTCTTGGCTCAAGGAAGCTGATATGCTGGAGTTTGGCGGCAGCTATAAGCCCGTATTCAGGCGAACAAGTCCTAGGTGCTTGCAGGGATCCGTTGTGGGCTGTCAGAGAACAGGCATGGTTGGATATGCGAGGTGTGCGGGTGCACACCTCCTTTCCCGCACATTCTTCCCAGCACAATCCCGGGGCCTGTCTCAAATTAAGTAAAATTTGGGTAAGAACACCCGCCACGACGCCCATGCACGCCCGCGCAATGGGTTTTAACGTTCTTCCAAGTTCGGTTTCGACTCCCCAGCGATAGCTACGCCAACGCGGGGTGCGGGCTACTGAGGTGCTGCTGCCTGCTTGAAGGCCGACCGCGCCGGCTTGCACGCGCACATACCGGTGGCTTATATACGCCGGACGGCGAGACCTACCTTGACGACGCCGTTAGACCCGATCAGGATGTTCTGCGGCTTCATGTCACGGTGGATGATGCGGTTGGAGTGCAGGTAATGTAGAGCACGAACCTGCAGGTACGGCGACAAGGGCGAAAACGATGACGTGCATCTTGGGTGCCAAAACAGATTGGTGTACAGCCTCAAGAAAAGAATAAGTCAGGCAACCAGGGAGACGGCATTACCCCCTGCACGGTTTGAACAGCTTGCCGCTAACTTCACCGTGTTGCAAAGCGCAGTCAGCCATGGAGAAAGCCCCGAACTCCCATCAGCCATCGTTATCAAGGGGCTGCCCCATGCAGGGCAAGCCTTCGCGGGTATGACCTTGCTGTAAGTCCCCCCCCACAAGATCTCATGTTAAGCAAGCTCCTAGACCGGTGATGTCTGATTTCGTTTGCCGATAGGTTTAATGGCCATAGGAGGCTATTTCCGACTGTCGATGTCTCTTAAGCATCCCATTTGCCTTCTACCCTGTCAGCAAAAGACGGCCCTTTCTGCCAATTCCCGCTGGTGAAATCGCACCGTCCGTATGCCCTTTCAACGGTCCTATCACCAGTTTCCCCAGAGCTCCACCGACCTTCCGTCAACCCGTCCCAAATGCGCTTAAATTCCCATGCCGTAGCCCTCCCCGTCCTCACCAGCTGCTTGGCTATGCCGCGCACCACTTCCTCCGGCAAATTCTGATCATCCTCCAAGATTTCGAAGAGCTCTCCCTGTGCATACTCTGCAGGGGTAAGTATGTACAGGGACGAAAAATCGCAATAACTGGAACTCGGATGCGAAGCATGCATGAACGATGGCGTAAGTCCAGGACAAAGCCTCTCAGGACAAAAGCTTTGCAGGGCACACCAGATATCCAGGGATCGACGACCGATGACGGCCATTAAGGGGGCACTAGGGCCTATTGCTTGCAATTCCGGGCCAGGAAGTGCCCGTAATGCATCGGCAAAGCTGTGCCTGGAGTGGCAGCGACTGGGCTAGGGGTGGAGATGTAGGAGTATAGCGTTATGGCCACAGGCGCGAATCAGGAAGATCCTAAATTTCCACCATGATAAAACAGGGTGCCTAACGGCGAGGAGGAGGGGCGAAATTAAGCTAAGGAGGATCTATGTACCCACCGGTAACAACGCAAAACTCCGTCTTCGTTTCAAAGGCGTCGAGCATCTGGATAATATTCTCGTGGCGCAGCTGGCGCAAAATCTCAATCTCCTGCCGCAGGTTTTTGATATCCTTTTCGGATTTGCCCTGCGGGCCGCCAAGATCACACCGGATGGGAGCAGTCAGGAACCGTGCGGGAGGTTGGTCTACCCGGCCAAAACCCACGCGCTTTGCATCCACCACCCTGTACGGCTGAGGGGCCTCCAGTTTATAGAGCGCTCCGGCGTCACCTCCATAGACACTGATCGGCTCGCAGCGTTTTGGCTAACCCGGGCACCACCAATGGTGTGTTCCCGCGTCACCAATCGGTTGTATCAGGCTGCCCAGTTCGCCCACACTCCCCAGGTTACGTGAGCCCACGCGAACCCTATGTGCTCAAGACATGCGTCCGACCAAAATGGCCCCTATCAAGTGCCGCTGCTCAGATTTCGATTACGTGATGAAAGAGCCCTCACCCAACGCATAAGGCACGGACTGAACAAGTGAGAGCCCCCAAGCTGACATAGCGCACTCTAGCGCCCTGGATGCATCGTGCTTTCGGGGCTTCTGCTGCATGGACATGCAGCGGAATGCTGCTGGCTTATGCCGTGGATACATGCCCTACCCAGTGCGCGTGTGCAACAATGTGCATGGCCTGGTGCCTTTTCGGCCCGTTCCCACTCCACGCTCCAGACCTCCTGATTGCGTATAGAACTTCGCAAACGGAGATAGCCGTAGGTGAGTTGCATCACAACTCCATCGCCCGGCGACCTCATAGGCGCAGCACGTGCAATGAGCGGAGAAGCCAACCAACAAGTGGCCAGGCCCTTATTATACTAAAACGGTTATACCCCCAAAAGATACCCACAGGGGTGATTGAAAGAAATGCCGGCTGGGTGCACCGCTGCGCCATGCCCTAAACACACACGAGCTGCGCACCTGCTTCAGAATGAACTTCATCGCTGTAATTTGACCAGTACATTTCCGCCGACCTTTGTACACCTGAGTTGATATGGAAGTATTACAGGCAGGGTAGGCAGGGTAGTGTTTGGACTGAAGGCAAAGCCGCCGGCCGCTCCCGTCTCGCGCGCAAAATCAATTAACATGTTTGGTTGACAATCATGGCCAAGAAACCTTACCCCACGGCCAGCAGACAACGCCAAAAAAGTTCAAAACAGGCACATCCCAGGCGCGTAACTCTGAGCCCCTTTACCTTCCCAAAAGATCCTTCGCCAATCAACTCAATAACATGGTAGTTGTCGAGCATCTTGTCGAGGCCACCTCCTTGGCGACAGGCCGCGTTGACCTACCCGCAGGCCGCTTTCCTTTGCAGCTATAATACTATCTCCAACATCCTCTTGCCTAAGAAGTTCGAACAAGGCGCAAGGCCGCCTGTTGGCAGCTCGTTCCGAGGATCGAACAGTTCAATGTCAAGGTAGAAATAAAGATTTCTGATGCAACGCAAATGCTTAATCCACTGCAAATTCTTGAAGTTGCGTAGCTTTGGCGGCGCTCTTCTGCCTGCACCGTGTACGTGATTAACCGGTTCAGCATCGGTTCAGCACGGCGACCTAATCAAGTCATCAGAAACAATGCTGGACACGAGTATTGGTTACTTGTTATGTAATAAAGTTTTTTGCATGTGTAACTCCATTCTTCCACATTCGTGGGCAGCACCCCGCATGCCCTATTGCAAAGAGTGTTACGTGGTAACCCTAACTGTGCTGCATGCGGTAAGGCTCCAGCCTATCACAAGAAGGCGTTCAGCCGTTGGTGGACGGTGCTATTAAATTAGCTTGAAGGCAGGCCCTGCGGGGATGCAGCAGCTACACACGGCAATCCTCGAGGCCAAACAGGCCTCGGGATCCGCGGCCGCTTACCCAGCCTTTCTAGCAGCATACGTTCAAGGGCAAACTGTGGGGTGAAATGCTCCAAGCCTGGCATTACCTTTGGCGCGCGGCGGAGAGCCACAGCGGCAATTGGCCGGGCTACACGAATTGGTATCTCAACTGTAGGTCGGTATCGGATTCAACCCCGCAGGACATACAACGGTATCACGTCCGACTTAGGACGGTGTGCCTGTGCGTGGCTCGCATCGCAACCTTTGCTGCTTACTTGGGAAAGGACCTGGCGCCGGAACGCGTGGCCGTTTGTCTCAGTCTTCTCCCGCTACAGTATCTTAAGGGGTTCATACTAAACGTTTGCAACCTGCTGTTGGCACTGGTGTTAATCGTGATGCTGCTCCTGCAGCAGCTAAAGTAGATTTGGCGTGGGGCCGCCTGGCACGGCAGCGGGGCGGCGGGTATGTGTGTGCTTTGGGTGCAGCCGCCGTATTGGCAGTTCATGGCTCCGGTGTTCTGAGCTGCCGATGGTGCAGCAGCAGCTGCTGCTTAGGCAGCGGCATTGTGACCGAAAGCGGCGGAGGGTGGCCAGCCATTCTCCACCCTCCTAGATGGGTAAGTAATTAAGGGGAATAGAAACCCGGAATAGGAACATGGTCGACACGTCTATCCGCCAAGCATGTGATTGTGGCAGCAGCAACAGGACAATCGGCAAATCGATGGGTGTACTCCTTGGACACAAGTCAGATTCATCTTGCGTGTACTCGGGGTCCACTGGACGACACAGCGGTCGCCTGCTGAAGCAGCAGAGGCAGCCCCATAGCTAGTAACGGTCAGCGGCTCGGCGCTCGTTCTATCACAGCCTGCAGCGCAGTCTTTCCGAAGGGCAGGAAGCTGGCGTACTGGGTGATGGGCAGATGATGTTTTTATCTGGTGTCCGGCTGTAACAGCATCCATGAATGAATAAGCCGTTATCGTTTATGGTGACGATAAGCCTGGGCGGGACGGCAAACGCAGCACAGGGAAACGCACAAAGCCGTTTGTGATTCTTAAATGGCTCCTCCCTTCTATGAGCTGCATCATGTCCCAAGAGCATGGCAACCGGAAAGCTACCGACGCATCGTTCGCACAAGCGAGCAAGGGTGACTCCAATGATCCGGGGGCCCCTCCGGGAAGCTGGCCGGTTCACTGAGACAAAACGTTGCTGATTTCCTGCCTAAGCTTTATGCAAACCATGGGCCACGTCCTTACACCCTACACGAGACGAAGAGCCGCACGGGTCCTCCACATACACAGCAAGCGGGTTTTGAACAAAAAAACACCCTATACCAAATCCGCAATGCAGTGTGGCTTGCAAAAACATCGAGAGCCAAGAGCGTACCTAAAGCACAGACAACCGACGGACAGATGCATGGATGCATGACCACAGGCCACAGTGGCGCAAAGCGACGACCACCCGATTACACAAAGCCCACGACCCGGAGATGGCCGGAGACCTCAACAGAACTAGCGCAGTAACGAGCATGCAAACGCCTCGGGACCGCGTCCGTCGCGATCGCGTGTTTTATGAGGGTTCAAATTTGGGACAGCCGCCATTGTTATACAACGCTACAGTGGCAGGTTCCTGAACAACACGGGATTTACTTTGCCGCTGCCAGTTGATGGATGGTCAGACAAGAACAAGGCACACTCTCTAATCTCACAGACTCGAGCAGGGTTCCCAACATGTGCCCCGCGAGCCCAGAACAGAGAAAGCAAGCATCCGCCCTATCTCAAAAGCTTAATAATAGATATCATCAAAATTGACAACACAAACGATTCGAGGTCCTCAGAAGTTCGAATACCTTATAATACGTGAAAAAAAGGTCACACCCTGTCACAACCTCATCACCGGCCTTGCTTTCCAGCCCATTCACCCAGATCTGCTTGTCCATTCGCTACACCTAACCAGGGCTCTGCACCTGTCGAGATACACGCACAGGCATAAAATCCACTCTGCTCCTGACTCATGCATGCCTCGGCCTTCCAATCTACACGCATTCGGATTTGCCGCCAGGCGGATCCTAGGGTTGCAATCTCGGCCCAAAGCCCCCATGTCCCCAAGCGGGAATGGAAAAGAACAAATCTTCCAAGTTCCACTCCAGTCATTAAGTTGAACAAACAGTACAACGTTGACACACCGCCACATGTGCACATGCGCCCTGCATGTCACGATCATGCTTCCATCTCGTCCTTCATGCTTTGCGTGCCTCATGTGCCATGACAACGACACAGCATCGTAGAATATGTACTTGCGAGCATTATCAGCTTGGCTATACATCTTCCGTGCCCGATGCTTGCTAGGGCTCCTGCTACTATGGAAGACATGCGCAAAAGACCAGCCCGGCTAAATAGGTATGCCTGGGCATTTAAATATTATTGGTTGTCGCCTGCCCCATATGCAGCCAGCTGACCGAAAAACTGTGTGGAACACGGTCGTCAGGTTCCCGCCCCCCGTCCGGGCCGTCGCTTGGACGTGTTCTGCGCCCCTATACCCATATCTCTTGAACCGAAAAATCCCAAACCTTTTTTCAACCGGGGAGACAGCTACACAATAATGCTCTCGCCTGCCAGTCTTCAGCCTAGGGTGCGTAAACCGCAGCACTGAGGGCCCGGCTGACCACTGTGGAACGAGCCGCGGCCAAGGCGCATCGCGGCGCAACCACCAACCCGCTCCGCCACCCAGGCCCGCCAACATAGTGACTCGCCACGCCACGCTACGCTACGCTACGCGGTTCCACGACTCAAATCCGGCCCCCCCCTCGTGACATGCGCTTCTGGAGCACCTACCAAGGAACACCACGGAACGCCTCCCATTAACATCAGGTTAACTGGAGAAGGAAGTTGAACGGTCCCCATAGCTTAAACTTCACCTCGTAATGCGCTGGTAAAAAAGCTCAAACCGGCCATGGCCCTGGGCGCTCCCGCCGCATCCAAGTGCTCGGCCTTCGCCGCGCCCCCAAGAGCCGGGTGTGCCGCCGCGGACCCACGGCCCGGGGTATGGCCAAGGGGCATGTATGCCCAGATTCGGCCACACTGCTTTCGATGCATCCCACGCCGGCCACGCCGGCAGCGCCGGCAGCAGGTATTCCAGATTGTGGCGGACACACAGCCAGACCCTGAAAGGTGTGATCGTGTCGAAGAGCCAACAGACCTGCTAATGGAGAACCGCCCTCTCAGGGTGCGTCCAATACGACACTGTCGTAACCTTGCTCCGCAACCAGCCCGTCGAAGAACGAAAGAATTGCATCTCGCCGCGAAAGCAGTGCAGCCACCTCTTCATCAGTAACAATGCCATTGAGCGCGGCACGTATTGAGGACGCGTCCAGGAAGCGAAGGCGCAGGTAGGTACGTGCGGAGATGCGGCGAGTGGGACCTGGATAGGGTTTTTTTGCATTGGGGCCAACAGCCATTGCATATCAGTGAGAGAGGATTTAAGATTATAATTGATTAAATGGTAGTGCGCATTGCTTGGATTAGGACCGACAGCTGGGATCCGCGGTGGGAGTGCAGCGCATCTGAGAGGCGATGTGGCGCCTGTCGGCGAATCTGAGCACGTTGCGTCTGGGACCGTGTTGGGGCTCGCGCACTGAAGCTGTCATGAGGTGGTGGTAACGCGTCGTAAAATTCGTCAGGTACCCCAGTTCTCACCCAATCCGCCCATCCAGACCCAACCCTGCTCGCTGCAAACACCCCCTCCCTATTCCTCGGCCCATGCCCTTCCCTACAAAGGTTGTACGCACCCCTACACGTCTTCCGCTATTAGCTCCAACATCCCACCCATGTCATACCCGTAAGGAACGCATTCTGATGGTCCAGACACACAAACGCGTCCTGCCGGAAGCCCGCCGCATGGTCGATCAGCACTGGACTCATGCGGCCGCGCCAAACGGTGCCGCCGCTGCTGCGCCCCTGCGGATGAGGCGCCGGCGTGTAGTCCCCATCCGCCCAATGCTCAGCATACAGAAAGTGACCCGCGTGGCGGTCACTGTTCTGTATCAGCACATCCTGCTCCGTGGCAATAGGGATAAAAGATTGGGGGCCACAGATGTTACAAGTTCAGCATCTATGCAAAGGGGAGTTTGCCTGTGGCCGGGGCATATACAAGTTTGGGAGCGGCCTATGGAAGCATACGCATGAGGCTCCGCATAGAGGCTATAAAATACTGCAAAGTGGTTGCTTCCGGACATCGTTACATTTGCCACTCGCCAGAGGCCTCCTACTCTTTTCCTGTCGCAGCCGTTGCCACCATTGACTGCCACACACAGAGGGCATGTGCCTTGCACGATACGGTACACACCGCAAGGCATACAGAACGCCGACAGGTAGATACGTGTATGTGTGGTGGGGCTGTCGAGCATCGGTGTCAGCGCGTTGCTAGGTGTTAAGGGGGCGGTCACAGCCTTTTAAACCCCACGCAGTGCCAACGCCTTCAACGCTTCCCTGCCGCCCTCCCGCCGCAGCTTCCGCGGTGGCTTTGCCGGCTTCCAGCTGCTTTCAACAAGCACGGGTAGACGCTACACTGTATGGTGCAGGGAGCAAGCAGGTTCCTACGACGGACCCAACTCCCTTCCCTGGACTCCCAGCCCCGCCAACCCAATATGCTCGCTACACCATCGTCGCCTCAGCAGCAGCCCCGAAGTTGACGCTAGTTCCCACACTGCACACGTGGCTCAATCTTCCCCTTGCCCCGACCCCGGCTCGCTCGCCGCCCGCCGCACCAGGATACGTGTGTCGCTGAGCAGTAACGGCCCCGCCACACTCCATTCTGGCATGGGTACAGTGTTAAGCTGCCGGGCGCCGCTGCACCAGTAAATGAAGGCGCCGCCTTGGGAGGAGAAAAGGCGAGCAGCGAAATTATAAACGGGACGGGAAGGGAACTCAAGTGAACTTTGATTCTTTTGATGGAAACCGTAATCCAGGAATCACACCATGTAGGAAAGCACGACACACCATAGTACCCGACAAGAAAGGACCCCCAACGTCGTATTGTATCCCGCCCTGGGCCCAGCTCCCTGCCGCGCCCCTGCCCCGTCCTTTCCCCCACCAGGAGCCTCCCCTGCCAAACCTGTCGCCACCTGTTACCGACCCCACAAATCACAAACCTTGCGGGTAGTGCGTCCAGTCCACATCGCAATCGCCTCGCATTACTGCGGGCGGCACCACGTCCATACCCAGCATGAGGTTCAGCTGGTAGGCCGCTACTTCTATGGGTACTCTGTGCCAGCCCTCACAGTCGCCCTCGACGCGCGGTTTAAAGGCGGCGCGCATCCTGTGGTAATGGTTTGCGATAGGATGGGGTTGCCGTGGAAGACAGCATGAAAACGTGCGTGTTTGGCTCGGGTAATGGAGATAAGAAGGCGGTCGTCAAGACACAAGGGGGAACGAACGATGACCCGCAAGGGCCATGAAAGCCTGATCTGCGGCCGCTGCCATGCCAAGCTCGCAGCAGGATACGTGCGCGCATCGGGACTGCTATGTTGCCCAGCCACGGGGGCCACCTTTTCTTCGCACTGCTGGACGACTAGGACATTATCGCCCCATGCATCGGACGCCGATATGACGACCGTCCTGAGTCAGTGTCCTGTTCTCATTCCTAGCTTTCCCCTAGCTTCCTCCCCATAACGGACGGCGTTTTCCCCTCGGTGTCTTATGACTGGGCGTTCCACACCTCCCGGAACCCTCATTCATCCCCAGACCCACTTTTGGCCAGTGGCCTTGTCTTCCAAAGTCACCAGGTAGCTCACATGACCGAAACCTGCGACCAGCGGGGCACACAGCCGCGCGAGCAAAGGAAAGTAACATAGGACCACATGCAGGGAGGAACGGGCCCGTGCCAAACACAGCCAACGGCCGCACTTCTGGGTAGTGTGGGTGAGGTCGGAAGCCAAAATGGCCCCCTTAGCCGAGCTCGAGTTGCTCGTACCCGTTCCCGTCTCCACGGTTTCATTAACGCGTGTACCATGGCCCATACATGACTAAATGAGATCCACTCCCCATAAGTGCCAGCATCCTACAAGTTCAGTAAGCAACTGCATAGCTGTTCGTCGCACGGCTGCGCAGCTGCACTTAAGGCATCCTTTGGGCCGCAGCCGGGGACCAGCAGCCTCCAAAACCCCTGAACGCAATCGGCAGGGCCCCCTCCACACCAGAGACTGCAGGCCGCGGAGCAAGCACAGCCTGCAGGCCTTATGACCTTAGTTAACAACAGGCCAACGATGCATGACCAGGCCTGTCGCCGCCATTACGCCACTATGCTGCCTTTGGTATGCCTAATCGTGCGATGCCTCGCTCCATGCCAGCCGCACCGTTCTCCATGCGCTTGGCGTCCCGTATGGTCCCGTTACGCAGCATATTGCACACGAAGCGGTGCCGCTCTTGTCGCCCTGCCGACAAACTCCCTTGTCGGTTGAGCGCCGACACGGCCGCTGTGGCCGCATCCCGTGCCGCCAGCCAGGCCAGCTCCTCAAGTTCAGCGCTAGCCACGTGCAGCCGCGGGTCAGTCACCCTGACGGGGAGAAAAGGAACCCGGAAATTGGGAAGGCGAGCAATAAGAGCGAAGAGCACAGGTAATGTGGAGGGAATGTGCGCATCAGGTACACATGGAGTGACGTCCTGCAGCCGGTGCCGGAAGTGGACTTCTGGCATAGGGCATAGGGTTTTCTGCAGAGCACGACTGCCGGCTAAGAGCATACGGACAGGGGGTTGTCTATTATGTGGTGTGGTCCACATTGCAAATTCGTCCGCAGTTGATGGAACTGTGGAGGTTTAGGACAGAGATACGTTTGCTGCCATCCCGTTTGCAACATGTGCTGATGCATAGCATGTGCTCCTAAGGCTGCAGGGCTCAGCGTGCAGTAGCTTGATGCGAACGGCCACAGAATCAAGGAGTTCCGTAAGCCTTGCACTCCGGCACAGCACCCATAGGAGGCAGGCCAAGGAACACAGCAAGGGTTGTCAGCTCTCCCCCTGCCTTCGCAGGACCCACTTGACTGAAGTCTTCAGCGTGACGATACAAGAGTTGTGGGTTGCGTCCTTCTCTACGGCTGTGGAGGTGCAGCAGATGCTGCCCGGATGCGTCTGCAAGCAATGCTCGTCGACCTCCAGCATGGGGGCGCTGTCCGACGGCGAACACGCCTCTTCCCCTGACGCCAAAGATGACTGTACTTGCCGTGGTTCCCGCAATTCAGGACGTGATATCCCATCTGCACTATCTCTGCAAGCAGAGCACGGGTGCACCGGCCAACCGAGCCCAACAAACAAAGCTCACGGAACTTCTCAATAGCCGCAAGCATAGTTTCGATCAGTAGCACCCTGATATCTAGACAGAATATGCAAGAGTCTGACCTCCGCTAGCTAGAGACGTTACGTTGGCTCCTTCTTAATGCGCACCTGCCGGCCTGCGGAGACGTTGTTCGAAGTACAGATTGGGAATTCAATGCTCCCGTTGAACAAGAAACGCTTGCGTCCAAGGAAGCCGTCCCGTTTGCCGAAGTTTCAGCTCCTATTCCTGTCGTTCTCCAGCAAAAAGGTTGATCGGCTGCCGTGCAACGCTCATGAAGATGCTGCAATAAGCCATCCGTTCCGATAGGGACGCTTCCGATGTCAACAACCGGGGCGGCGGAAATAAGAGGCGGGTGGCTCAAGCCCCTCCCAGCCACGGCTTGGCGACCCCTTTGAGAACAGCGTGACCAGGAGAGCAGATGCCGAAAGCCTAGTGCTTTCGCAAGCATGAGGTCCAATGCTCAACGTCGAAAACACAAATGCACAAGTCCACGTTCTTCCGATATATATAGAACTATATTAGGGCAGACAAGGTTAACAATCGCCTATATAGGTATCACGCAGCATGGGGCTTTTAACAAATGCGAAGAGTTGCTTAGGAAGCGCTTCGACCGGTCGAGGTAAACACTAATTGTTTACATTAAAATTCGCAGATAGAATCTAACGTCTGAATGCTGTACGAAACCCGAATTGGGTTCGTGTCGGTACGGGGTAGTTGGCCTTGCTCGAGGATTTGGGCTGATTGGCACGTGGCAGCAACAATCGCCGTCCTCGCTGAGCAGAGCACATGTGCCTCCTCGCCGTATGTACCCCGCCCGCGGACGGTCCCCTGTCCGCAACGCCGTACATCCTGACCGTTCCAGCGGACGCCTAGCGGACGGTCATGGAAACGATGGTCCAAAGCTCCAAAACATCTGTATGTAGATGATTCATGAGACGCTAATAATAAATGCTCCAGCTTGCACTCCTTGGCAAGCAGTTAACGCGCAAAACACTCGCCAGGAGAACCTAACCCCAAAATCGTAACGGACATTGTAAAAAGGCTTCTAGCATAAAAGGAGAAAGCAACCGAAAGAAAAAGAGACAAGATCCCAAGACGCGCGGCGGACATTCTAATGTTCTGTTTATATAACCTGCTTAAATAACACCAACGCACTGGAACAATTGAATTATGCAGTAAGGTCGTTGCAATGGCCACAAGCACTGGGCATTAGTGAAAGGGATTCAGCAAAGACTGACCGTCACGTCCAACACGTCGTTCCATCCCTTTGTCGGCTCTGAATGGCACAATGAATGCTCTACTGGGTTAATGATCATTTGGCGGTGAAAAGAGGCCATTGTATGACATCCGAGCTGGCGCACAGCATTCGCACGTCCCCACGACCCAACACGGCACAAACGCCCCTCACCCGGTTACGCCGCTATACTGCATTCCGCCTGCCAGCCTGTCTATGCAACACAGCGCATGGCGGGCAGGCCAACGAAGCCATACCAAAGTGTCGTTAAAGACTGGGGTCCCAGGCTCTCAGAACGCCAGGCTGCCAGGTCCCCAGGCTCCCAGGTTCCCAGGCTCTCAGAATCCCAGGCTCCCAAGCACACAGGCTCCCAGGCACACATGCTCTCAGAAACCCAGGCTGCCAGGCACACAGGCTCTCAGAATCCCAGGCTGCCAGGCTCCCAGGCTCCCAGGCTGCCAGGCTCCCAGGCTCCCAGGCTGCCAGGTCCCCAGGCTCCCAGGCTCCCAGGCTCTCAGAATCCCAGGCTCCCAAGCACACATGCTCTTAGAATCCCAGGCACACAGGCTCTCAGAATCCCAGGCTCCCAAGCACACATGCTCTTAGAATCCCAGGGTCCCAGGTACACATGCTCTCAGAATCCCAGGCTCCCAGGCACACAGGCCCCCAGGCACACAGGCTCTCAGAATCCCAGGCACACATGCTCTCAGAATCCCAGGCTCCCAGGCACACATGCTCTCAGAATCCCAGGCTGCCAGGTTCCCAGACTCTAAGGTTCCCAGGCTCTCAGGCAGACAGGCTCCTAGGTACACATGCTCTCAGAATCCCAGGCTCCCAGGCACACATGCTCTCAGAATCCCAGGCTGCCAGGCACACAGGCTCTTAGAATCCCAGGCTTCCAGGCACACAGGCTCCCAGATGCCCAGGTTCCCAGGCTCTCAGAATCCTAGGCTCCAAGGCACACATGCCCTCAGAATCCCAGGCTCCCAGGCTCTCATAAACTCAGGCTGCCAGGTTCTCGGGCTCTCAGAATCTAAGGCTCCCAGGCACACAGGCTCTCAGGAACACAAGCTCTTAGAAAGCCAGGCTGCCAGGTCCCCAGGCTCCCAGGTTCCCAGGCTCTCAGAATCCCAGGCTCCCAGGCACACAGGCTCTTAGAATTCCAGTTTTCCAGGCACACAGGCTCTTAGGATCCCAGTCTTCCAGGCAGACAGGCTCCTAGGTACACATGCTCTCAGAATCCCAGGCTCCCAGGCACACATGCCCTCAGAATTCCAGGCTCCCAGGCACACATGTCCTCAGAATTCCAGGCTCCCAGGCACACATGCTATCAGAATCCCAGGCTGCCAGGCACACAGGCTCTTAGAATCCCAGGATTCCAGGAACACATGCTCTTAGAATCCCAGCCTCCCAGGCAGACAGACTCCTAGGTACACATGCTCTCAGAATCCCAGGCTCCCAGGCACACAGGCCCCCAGGCACACATGCCCTCAGAATCCCAGGCTGCCAGGCACACAGGCTCTTAGAATCCCAGGCTTCCAGGCACACAGGCTCCCAGGCACACAGGCTCCCAGATCCCCAGGTTCCCAGGCTCTCAGAATCCTAGGCTCCCAGGCACACAGGCTCTCAGAATCCCAGGTTCCCAAGCTCCCAGGTTCCCAGGTTCCCAGGCTCTTAGAATCCCAGGCTCACAGGCACACAAGCTCTTAGAAAGCCAGGCTGCCAGGTCCCCAGGCTCCCAGGTAAACATGCTCTCAGAAACCCAGGCTGCCAGGTCCCCAAGCTCCCACGTCCCCAGGCTCCCAGATTCCCAGGCTCTCAGAATCCCAGGCTCCCAAGTAAACATGCTATCAGAAACCCATGCTTACAGAATCCCAGGCGCCCACGCTCCCACGTTCCGAGGTTCCCAGGCTCCCATGCACACAGGCTTTTATAACCCTAGGCTTCCAGGCACACAGGCTCTCAGACACACAGGGTCCCATGCACACAGGTCGCCCATGGCTGTGGTCCAAGCCTGGCCCCAAACCGCCAGATAAATATGCTCCTACATCTAATTGACTTAGCCGAATGCTATTTTTAGCTTTGTTTACATTTCATGCATTTGCTGGCGCCTACCGCTTGCATCGACGTAGCCCCCAGTATTGCACATTGCATTACATTATCCATGAGAAGATTATAAAACTTCAATTCATTATAAGCTCAGCAAATTGCAACGGTAAAGGGCTCATCTCTGGGAACGAGCCGATACGGAAACCTGCGGAAACGGAAACCTGCGGAAATAGGTTTCGTCACGCTTTTCGCAGCGAAGCCCAGATTGGCGAAAATGCGGAAAGAGAATCCGCATTTCCGCGTTTGCTGTACGGCGGAAAGTCAAAACAGATTCCAGGCATGCGTTTGCCATTTAAAGACTGCGTTTTACACTATGGAGTTATAAGATTAAGTCAAATGTCAGCAACCACTGGCCCCGACCTGGGGCCTGCCGAAGTCATAGAGATTGACTGTGTTTCTGCTCAGAAGAAGGGTGGAAGGCCCGTTGACGACGTTTGGAAACATTTTGATAGAGGTCCTTACGAAAAGAGCAAGAACTGCTACGCAACCTGCAAGGGCTGCCGTCGCCACTGGAAACGTGCTCGCCTTCCTGAAATCCGCTTTCACCTTGCCAAGGAGTGCACTGCCATCGCTCCTGAGGTCAGCGCGTATTACAAGAGCATCCCAGAGCAATCCGTCAGCCAACAACACTATGGGGGTGGTATACGATAGGGCTGCTCAGGCCTGGGGTCTCAGGGTGCAAAGAGAGGCGGGCTGCTTGAAGGGGGCAGGGTGAACACCGTCAAGGGTGTGGGCACACAATAGTTGCACTGCCACAAGCTGGTTTCAGACTGTCCATGTCATCACCACACTGAGAAGAGCTAAAGAACATCGTTACATATCGGGTGCCGGCGGACCGGGCGCCGTACACGCACGTCCAGTTGGGCGACCTAAGGGGGACACACGCCTATTGCCGCTGTTTAACCGCGTCATAGACACGGAGCAGACAGCCTTCCTCACAGGCAGGCGAATCGCGGATAGTGTGCTCCTCTTACAACTGCTGCCCGCGCTTCTCCATATGGAGCGCCGTACTTGTGTGGCAGCTTTCCTTGACTTCTACAAAGCCTACGATACCCTAGATAGAGACTTTCTGTTCGCGTGTCTGGATGAATTGGGGGTAGGTGTGGGCTTTATTGCTTGGGTTCGACGTCTGCATACTAGTACGCAATCTGCGGCGATTGTCAATGGCTACCTTTCGTACTGGGTTATTATAGCGGCTGGCGTCAGGCAAGGCTGTCCGCTTGCCCCCATCCTATACCTTGCACCAGCACAAGCATTATTAACTTGGCTTCAATATCAACAAATCGGCATAAGTTTGCGTGACATTCACCTCGCTGCGTCACAGTATGCGGATGATTGTGGTGCCTTTTTACGTCGCCTAGCGGACATTCCCCGCTTCAAAGCTGTCATGGATGTTTTCCACGCAGCCTCGGGACAACGACTCAACAATCGCAAGGTTGAGCTCTTGCCGCTTGGCACGTTCACCCGCAATACAAGACCGGCGGACTTACCAACAGCGAATGCTATTGGTAATCATTTAATCATGCCGGTTACTAACCTAACGCATATGGCGAACTCTGTGGGTAACGAACAAGTAGCAGACGAGGTTGAACAGCAGCCTGTTGTAGGTTCAGTAGTTGGCGATTTCAGGGTGCTCTCAGTAGCTACAACCCTAGGGATTCGCGTCGCAGATAGGCCTTCGCTCGAACAGCAATCGGTTTCGCTTTCTCCTGTGAGGAATAGCTTGCAGTTAGTCGCTGGGATGCATTTATCAGCTTTTGGTCGAGCTTTTGCGGTATCTGGTTATAGCATTAGTAGAGTCCTGTACCACTTGGAGTTTATGGGGGCACCTAGCAACACCTCGATGAATAACCTGCTGGGAGACTGTGCGGCCGTTATTGACAGGCGTCAACCGCCATCTGTGCGGGACATTGCTGAACGAAGACGGGCCCCGGGTGTGGGAGTCGCATATATGCCGTTTCCTCCTGCCATTGGAGGTTTCGGTCTTATTCCTCTGCACGAACATCTGCGTGCACGGTTTGCCTGTTTGTCCTGTCGTGCAATCCTTGGTATGGCTGGTATGTTGGAAACTAACCCCATGTGGACTCGGGTATTACTGGCAATATTGCGTCATATCCACCCGGCGGCCCACCCATTATGTCTGTTGGCCGTTAGGGGAGATGTACGAGATGGCCGTGTCACTACTATCCTGGGTAGGCCTGTGCCGAATGATTGCCCGGCATGAACACGAATTCTATCAGCTATGACTTCCCTACCACAACCTGTCCTTCTGGATGCGCAGCATCTAGCTCCGGGTCCTTGGTGTTACCATATCCCTCTTTGGGGAAACCCTTTGCTAAATGACGCTCAGTTGGACGAACATTTTGGTGATCTTAGAAATTTGCGTGGGTTAGATACAGTAGGTATGGCCGTACGGTGCCACACAGCTATGTCGTCTACGTGGAATTTGGTGCGCATGGTTGGTGCACAAGGCCTTACTGAGGCGCAACACTTTCATTGTACGAATCTGTTTCGTACTATCGTGGTACGGGGCATATTAGGGCTTACGCCGAGGCATCCCCTGCCGGCATCGTGTCAGTCGGGGGCGACTGCCATAACGCGTATATCGCAACTTATCGACCGCCTACCCCCGCAATGGACCATAGCGGCGATAGTGGCTATTAATGACAGAAACCATGAAATACCGCCTCCGCAAGAGGCCTGGAAAAGAATTGTCAAAAGCTTGGGATGGAGATTTGGTCAAGTGTTACTGCATTTCTCTCAAGTAACGGTTAAGTTTGCGACGACTTTATTAATGGCACCTTCTTTACGAACGCTTGATATAAAACATGAAGATTTTATTTTGGATGCTGTTGATATCGTCTTATCGCCGGAGAACTTGGCCAATACTTTGTTGGACTTCCGTCGTACTTTGTCGCGCATGTGGAGACTTCGGTGGGATAACGAGCATAAAGAAGCCCTTTGGAGGCTGGCTCTTGATGGTTTCCCTGCCTTTCCTATGCATAGGGCGCAACGTCAAAGAGGTATACAGGCTGCTATGTGCCCCTGTGGTGTACGCATGCTTTGTGGGGATCGTCGGCATCATTTCTGGGATTGTACTGTCGCGTTGGCTCTTCGTGAAGCTCTGCAGAATGAACTTGAGTTCCCTGACCTTTTCAACCGGGCTAACCTGTGGTTGGGCATTCCACCAACCTGGATTTGTGCGTGTGTATGGGAGGTTGTATGCCTTGCGGCCATCAGCTCACTCAATCTCGGTCGCCGTTTGTTGTTTAGGGAAGGTCTCCAGACCAACATGCCTATATCAACGCCATCGCTTAACCGCATTACTTACGAGGTTATCTCTGACTTTTGGGCCCGTTTAACTGCTTTTGCGGCACGGGACTACTTGCCAAAACATTGGGATCATGTACCTCACAATCACCCTTTCTTATATGTCAATGACGCAGACATGGTTGTTTGCCGTTTACCGATTTACAATGACGAAGTTTGAGGGCGCACGTCGGAGCCTCAATTTTCTGTTTAAGCGTACTAACTGAGGCCGTGTGTCCAGTGAAGTTAGTACGGCCTGGCCGAGTTCTTTTTGAATAAGGCCCACAGTGTTGTGCGGGAGGCGCTCCTATGGGCGCTGCACTCGACCCGTTCGGGGTCCACTGTAACAATCGCATCCACGTGCGGACGCGACCTGTTCGACCTGGCAACTCGCAGATTTTGGTCGGCTCGTGCAACATTTCATTAGAGGACCTTTGTATGGAACTTTTTCGGGTCGCTCGAGCGTTGCAGGAGCAGTGGCGACGCACTTTGTGGAGTGGTGCACGACCATGGAGTCCAGGAATTAACTTTGCACGAGCAGCCACCTTGTATGGCCATGTAGCAATGCACTTTCCATTCCTCATAAAGAAGCGTCCATGTAAGAATAGGACAAGGAAGGGGTTCCCGCTTGTCAAAGTAGACTTTGTTGTGGTGGCATTAGCCGCACCAAAGCTAACTCCTGAAAAGCTTTACAAAATACATCAAGGATACGGTGAATAGAAAGTTAAGAAGAAGTGGAACCATCCGGAACTGAACGCAATCAAGCAATGCAGTGGTCACTCATGAAAACACAAAAAGAGATGTCCCTACAAACACGGAGGGGGGTTAAGAAACTTAGGAGAATGCTTAAGAACGATAAGAACGACGGAAGAACATGGAGGAGGCGGGTGTGCATTCTTAAACATTCTTACACTGGTATTAAGCGGTTTTATGTAAGTATGTCATATAAGTATGCATTAAGAATGCATCAACCATGAAAACATTCTGTAATGAATGCCTGATGGAGCTCTTATAGTTCCCGGATAGGTAATATATCACAGTGATTGTGAAACAGTGAACATACCATGAAATTTCATGAAAACTATCAACATGTGTCTGGGTCTAGACCTTAGATCTAATAATGCGAGATCTAACAGGTTTAGACCTGTTAGATGGATTAGCGAGTTCGAACTCGCATTATTAGATCTAAGGTCTAGACCCAGACACATATGCATGTTGATAGTTTTCATGAATTCATAGATATCTATGGCTACATCGATGGCTACATCGATGTAGCCAATAATTAAATCCCCTATCAATCACCATGAATATCTAGTGGGCTGCACTGCATATACATCAGTGTACACTGATGGAGGGTGTCAAATTGCGCCCT